AAAGGGTCACATTCTTAAGCCTCCTTGGCAAGGTCTATTCAGAGATCCTGCAGAGGAGGATCCGTCAGATAGTTGAACCTCGGATTCAGTAAGAGCAATGTGGTTTTCGTCCTGGTCGTGGAACACTGGACCAGCTCTACATCCTCACCAAGGTCCTGGAGGGTGTGTGGGAGTTTGCCCAACCGGTCTACATGGGTTTTAGTGGACTTGGAGAAGGCGTTCAACTGTGTCCTTTGGGGAGCCCTGTTCTCCAGAAATATGGGGTACCGGGTCCTTCGATACGGGGGTGTTAGGTCCTTGTTGATAAGTCAGGCTCGTTTTTGGTGAGAGTTCAACTCCGCCAAAACTGCCCTTCGTCACATTACTTTCATGGACAGAATTTCTAGGCGCAGCCGAGGTGTGGAGGGGATCCGTTCTGGATCGCATCTCTGCATTTTGCAGATGATGTGGTCCTATCGTCTTCATCAGGTCGTGACCTATATCTCTCACTGCAGCGATTTGCAGCTGAGAATGAAACGGCCGGGACGAGGATCAATGCCTCTAAATTCGAGGCATCCTTTTGCGATCTTGAGCTGGAACAGGGTAGAGTGCCTTCTCCGGCTCATGAGGGATGTCCTGCCCAAAGTGGAAGAGTTCAAGTATCTCAGGATCTTGTCTCCCAATCTGTCTGTTGGGAGGCCAACAGACAGATTGCCGAAGTGTCTACAGTGAAGCGGGCGCTGTACCAGTCTGTCGTAGTGAAGAGAGAGCTGAGCCAAAAAGTGAAGTTCTCGGTTTACCGCATGATCTCTGTTCCTACCCTCATCTATGGTCATGACNGGTCATGACCGAAAGAATGAGGTCATGGATCCAAGCAGGGAAAATGAGTTTTCTCCGTAGGGTTTCTGGGCTCTCCCTTAGAGATAGGGTGAGAAGCTCGGTCATCCGGGAGGGACTCAGAGTAGAGCCACTGCTCCTTCTCTTTGAGAGGAACCAGTTGAGGTGGCTTGGGCAGGATGCCTCCTGGACGCCTCCCTGGTGACGTGTTCGGGGGCACTCCCACCGGGAGGAGGCCCTGGGGAAACCCAGGACACACTGGAGGGACTATGTCTCTCGGCTGGCTTGTGAACACCTTGGGATTCCCCCGCGTGAGTTGGAGCATGTGGCTGGGGAGAGGGAAGTCTGAGCATCCCTTCTTAAGCTGCTACCCCTATGACCCAACCCTGGATAAGCAGAGGGAGTGAGGATGGATGGATGGATGGATGGATAGATGGATGGATAGATGGATGTTGTATCGAGTCATTCACTCCTCGTGGATGAACATGTGGCCACAGTGGACAATCGCATTGTCACTGACTTTCCAGTAATCTCTCATGCTGAGCATGCATTTAGAGACAAACTAGTATGAAAACTCCTCTTTAAACAGGAAGCAGAACATGGCTTTGTGTGAATGGACATCTGCCACGACCGACTAGAGTTTGAGACAGGGCATACACACAAAAACGAAACAGAATGCTAATGGTAACACTTTATTTGAAGGGGGGGTGAATAAGACTGACATGACACCGTCATAAACACCTGTCATGAACATGAATAAGCCTTCATGAATATTTATGACTGTTGTCATAAAGTGTCATTCGGTAAATCATGACACTTTTAATACAAAGTTGACATAATTTAAAATGCCTTTGTTATGACAACTTGACATTAACCAAGAAATCATTACTGATATAAATTTGTTATAAAAGTATTACTGATTGCACTTTAAAAATTAGGTAACTTTATGTTATTAAAGGTAAAGTTTAAACAGTAATGATTTCTTGGTTAATGTCAAGTTGTCATAATAAAGACATTTTGAATAATGTCAACTTTGTATTAAAAGTGTCATAATTTACCGAATGACACTTTATGATAACAGTCATAAATATTCATGAAGGCTTATTCATGTTCATGACAGATGTTATGTCATGTTTATGAAAGTGTCATGACAGTCTTATTCACCCCCCTTCAAATAAAGTTAACACTTTGCTAATGCTAATCTAGGAGTACATCAAATATTTTTATTAAATTGCCTGCTGTATTTGTTTCGTCTGTTAGTCCTGTATCCTTTTACATTTTGAAGACCCATTTATGATATTATGATCCAGCTATAGGAAAAGACAATACTTCTGACTTATCCTGGTTTTAAGATTTTGATTGGGAGTGCTTTAGTAATTTTACAGTAGAATCTTTAGGACTGTCTGCTGCTTAGTTGACTATATGACAATTTAGAGATAGTGTGGTATTTCATCCATTGACCTTCAAAGTATTAATAAAAGCTTTGATTTTTCTCTTAATTTTCCAGATTTATATATTTTTTTATCAAAGCCTGGACATGACAAATTAATAGACATTATCTGATGAAAAAAACCCACTAAGCTTACCTGAGGATCTGTTGGGATTAATGAAAACAAATCCAGACCTGTAAGTACAAACCAACACAAAGTTAATGGTACTCGTAGTTAGGGGCTGTGCAAATATCTAACCTAATTGCAAAGTTGGGCACATTTTACTAACTTACTTTGCAATTCAGTAGGAATGGAACTTAGGGTAGATGGGCGGAAAGGAACTGCATATTCGGCAATCGCTGAGGTAAGGTATGACTGTTCCAGGCCTGGAATATTCGGCATACGAAGAGAGGGCTGGTACGTCAACACACTGACAGAAAACAGAAAAATGGGAACCACTCAGGATCACTGTCAACACAAAAGATACTTTGTGCTGATATATTTTATAGAGCTGTGAATCCAAGATTTCTTCTTTTAATAAGAGATGAAAAATTGGAACAAGAGCAAAATAGAAAAAATATGAGAAGGAGGAAACCACCCAGTTTTC